CCGACTGCCCTCAAAACCAGTATTTATTGCATCATATAAACAGAAGTAAGTTGATACAAACATATCGACATGACACGATATGGCATAATATCAAGTCACAATTCACTTCCGATTACAAATATTTATATTGCTATTTCCAAATAACTGCTTCTGAAAATATTTTTAAAGAATAAGCCACTCACCTGTAAACATATGACCTTTTCAGAAATAGGAGAGACACTGAGAGACAGAAATGGGATCGAATCACGCAAGCTAACAAAATGGTTAATAAATGTAGAGAGAGTAAAGTAACAGCGATCTGAAATCTGGTCCAACCATTTGGAATAATCGATGAAGGACAGATAGACAGAGAAGCACTGTATCTGTATTTGGGAAATGCTGCAGCAATAATTTAACATGAAAAACTTGAAAGTAGCGGTGGGTTCGTCATTTTCCTAAACAAGAAATTGATTATTTTGTTGAATAATGCTTCCAATATTGAAATGGCAGCAACTTATCTGTCCAGGGTTTTGGGAAGATTTCAGGGAAAATTCAATCACATGAAAGTTGAAATGCTTTTGACTGTATAGATATATGTCTTTGACCAAAAAAATTTTTAAATCATTTCTGTTTAAATTTTATTAAAATTAGCAAGAAGTTGTGAAAATAATGAGGCATGTAATTAAACAAAGGATAGACACCAACCAATATCCTAACTTCTTCCATTTTTTGATGGCAAGAAAATCTATGTTTGTCAAACTTTTATTTTGATAATTGCAGACAACCAAATTCCATTAATTTATATCATCCCGAACAAATCATCACTATTTATTGCACTGCAATTCGTATCCCAGAACGGTTGCTTGTCCTTTTATTCAGAAAGAAAATTCGAATTAAAGAAAGGGATGCAAACGATAAACGTACGATGTAACTGGGACGAAATTAATGAGGTCTGCAGAGATCCAACTGTTGATGAAAAGAGAACTACGCGCTTCAGCTAGCTCACTTAAGCAAATAAACTTGACAGAGTACAGGTAATAGAGAGGAAACTGAAATTTGATCATTTCCCCTTTTTCTCATTCATATAGCTACTATTGATAAAGATGTGAATATTATTATTATTACAATTAATAACTGCTAAATAAGTGGATTGTAAGTAACCACGAATTGGTCCTCTACTCTCGTTGTTTTATTGCTTGAAAGTGGTTTAAATTTGGTATTGTAGTATTTAGATGTAGAAAGATCCATCTCAAATATTAGGTAAGTTAAAAAAAAATTAAGCGAAGGGATACATATCAGAAGACGACTATGTGCATCACTTCAAAAATGTGCCAACCGATTACACTGGAAGACTCTATCGTTTGTCATAATTCACCTCGCTTTACTTTTTCATTCAAGTAACATTACCTGCAGTCTCTTCAGGGTAATGAAACGGAGCTGAAAATAGTTCTTCAAAAAACATAAAACCAAAGAAGTTACTAAAGAAGGCAGCGCTGCTTGATACAAGGGAAGAAGTCTCAGACTTAGCATCAATACGGGAACCTGAAGCGCAATCACCGGTGAAGTCTGGAACAGTGGCAATGACTGGTTGAAAACTTTCACACCAATTATGCTTTCAGCCAGTCAGGACACATACATTCGTTGAATTTTTCAGTATTTTCAATTTACTGATGACCCTCTTTCAGCATTATAAAACACACCTATCATTAGGGGAGTGAAAATATTAAAATTCAATGATTAGGTTCAAGAAGAAAAACAGACACCAAAAGAATAGCAAAAGGACATCGTCACACAGGTACAATTCGTTTTAACTTATAAGTCAAGAAAATTGCAAAATGATTTGTTATACGGTCATATTTTGTTAGAATAAATAACACCTGTTTAAACAGTTCATAACTCATAAAGCAAGAAGTTCAGGAAGGGCATCTCGTTTCATAATATTGCCGTGAAACTTAATTCTTGCTTTTAATCGGATATGTGACTTCAATGAAGCAAAATACATTTTTGATAGGTGTATAAAACAATACTTAAAAATACTTCCAGACGAACTAGAACTTTTATTATAATATTCGTCTTACTAGTTACAGATCGATCTTGAAGTTGGAACAGAACTGCAGCAACTAAGTGGCTTTACTAGTGTACTTCTCCAACTATACTCGACTAGCGATCGAGCACAGTCAATAAAATATCAATAAAATGTGCACAAATCGGGGGTAGTAAAATTCAACATTGAAATCAGGTAAGAAAAACTTCAGGAAATGCATTTTCTATTTCCGAAAAATTCCTACCAATCGGGAATCGACAATCGATGCAATAAGCAAAAAGATAACAGTTTCAACCCTAATCCCACTACTCTAATATTCTCAAATTCCATTACTGAATATTTTCCAATAAGTGTTTGACATGCGTATATGAATGTTATGCATGTATTAAATGCGGGTGCTCAAAGTAACTTTTATACAAACTATAGTGCAGATATGAAAATGGAATACGAAATTTCACATCATCATACTGATATTGTCTTCAGAAGAAATAACACAAAGAAATTTGAATGTGGTTCGACAGGGAAAAAAGAAGACTGAACATATATGAATCTGAAAAAGAATAATATGAAAAAACTGGAACGCAAAAGGGGAGGAAGGACAAAAGAAGTGTTTGAACCTGTTCATATAACCGCACCGGATAGCTCCCAGTTGTTTCTGAAAGGATTCCTCAAACTGAGACTCGTCACAGTTAAGACGATCCGCACCAATTAAACAATAGAATGCTGGTGTAGAAAACAATTTTTGCTTTTCCTATTGAATATTTGCCTAAGCTTGTTCCAAAAATGTAAAAATATTTTAAGGGTCTCAATTGAGCCTACCAGATTTATTATATATACTCCACGTGACTGCGTAAGTCATAGCCAAAAGAAATGAAAATGTATTGTGCTTCGCAAATACTGAAACCGTTTTAAATCCTGAACGCAAAGTGGGGTACATTCAACGAAAGAAATCCATTCAAGTTCCAAAGGCTGTCTTAACAAAGTAGTGGAATATATTCTAATTTTTCTTAATACAAATCTTAATCCTTCAGTACCATGACTCAATCACCTGAGGACAATCTAAAAGCAACTGATACAAAGGTAATCAAATAATTATTCTTTACACTTTCTCATTAAGTACATGTCAACATAATTGAAAGAAGACAGGTGTAGTCAGACGATAATCGGTAAAACTAGGAAAAGACAAAAACATAAAATCGTAGGAGAAACTTATCTGCACTTAAAAATGAGTTAAAAATGAGATTCCGTGGGTAAAACCCTATCGAACCTAGAAAACAACACTCTGTGATCAGGATAAAAGTTGTATGGAAGCAGCTATCACAGATAACTGAAAACATGTGACTGACAGCGTTGCTATTGGTAAGCAAACATATGAACAAAATAAAATAACTAAGAAACACAAGTCGAAGTTTTCCAGGTTCCTCTGAAATACAAAGTTCTTTCTATCTTCCCATTTATTAGTCATAATCTATTATAATCAAGAATAGAGGTAAGTACTTCGACCTGATTGAAATTTAAGTTGCAAGGAGTCAAAACGGGCACCGCTGATTGATTGAAAGCATGAAATAATTGTACACGTATATGTGATGATCATTTCGAAACGAAATTATCCATAACTACAATTCGAATACTTAAGTTTGCATGCTCCTTGCACATATATCTACAGTAGAAACTAATCTGTCCCATTTTCGTCCCAAGAATAATAAATAATGCTTGAAACTAACGATAATTAAGAATATTGTGTAACTTTAAGATATTAAACAATTTATTCGCAGTGCCTATCGTGTATCTCTCTCCAATTCTAAAAATGAATGTATTAACTTCTACTGTAGAACAGCAAATTAACATCTGCAAACTTTAAACAAAACTAATTAGTCAATTTAAGAAAACTTATTCTATGCTGCTTTGATGCATAAGACAAGGAACAAAAACAAAAAAAAACGTTATTTTAAAACAGCTTGCTTATTCTTATTGGGCTCCGTCCCTTAAACAAATAATAACCTAATCAGTACAGGATGGAAAAGAAAAGACGAACAGATTTCTAAACATCATAAACATGACATGAGCAAGTGGTATTAAGAAGAAGAAGTTAAAAACTGCTTGGAACTCTTCGTTAATAATATAAAGATCATTATCACACAATAATACTGATAAACAGCTTAAATTAGCAGTGAAATGTCATTCTTTAGCAGCAAAAACAGTGAAAAACAGTTAAAAAGACTGAGATTACCAGAGAAATAAAATCTATTTCTCTGTTAACAATAGAAGAAAGGAAACATTACTCCTTCTCCACTGTTTTTTATTTTTCCACTTCTACTCGTAAAAATATTTGTCTGAGTAGCAGGCCTGTCCTTAGAAGCCTATTCCATTTCACCATATGTATGACCAACTAGAATGAATTAGCTCAGTTAAAAGCAAATTTCACAAAGAGAAGAAATAGAGAATGATGAAATGTCGTAATAAATAACTGCAAAGCGAAAACAGAAAAATTTCTGGAAGTCTTTTTGTATCACTGAGCTCATATTGATCGAATTACTATTTCAAATTTGCCAAAATAGGATGACATTTGTAGCATGCAAATGAATAACAAAGTTTTATTGTATTAGTATGCTCATCTGAGTTTCTCAGGAAACAGAGAATAGACCTTTAATAGGACATGCAGCACTGGAGTATAACTGCTGTGTATCCGCAATAGAATTTATCACGAATTGCAGGAGTTAGTTTTTGACTGAAAGTTATTCTAAACTACTGTGCACTACTATAACCATAAAGACAAAATAAAGTGCATAAAAAACACTTATTACACTTTGTTATCCTTCACATTTTTAGAAATAATTAATATTCAAGTGTTTACGTACCTATGACAAAAACCATTTATATTCGCTCTCATAACGATGCAGTACTCTTATTTTACTTAAAAAAAAAAAAAAAAAAAAAAAAACTAAGAACAAGCAACCAAGCAAATTTCGCTTAATACCTAGTATACCATCCAAATTTTACAAAGAAGCAATAAGGCATTGCGAGCAGCATCCTCATGAGCAGCCTCTTCGGTATTCCCACTTCCGTGACATACCTTGAAATCAATTTCTATTGAATTTACAAATTAACACATCAAGTATGAAAAAATAAGAATAGGTACAAGATTGATACTGCAATATTGTCGTGAAAATACACGTATAAAGTTAAAACTTACGATAGGCTTATCAATTCCAATCGAAATAAGTGAAAAATATTGATCACCAATTCCATTCGGAGTCTAAACCACATCACGTTTAATTTGTTACATCGACAGTGAACAACCTTTAACCTAGTCTTATTTCTCCAACCAGTTCAACACCAATTGATTCATTATAACTGTCATACAGTATATCCAAAGCATCGCATACACTGAATTCTTTCCCTTATCTTGATTAATGGACAAAATGTATACCACAGGAAAATCGGTATAATTGACTGAAAATTTGTAATGTTCCGCTATAGATTCCAGATGATATCTAGCAGCTGAACATGCTGTGGATGACGACATCTCATTCAGAGATAACTGCTCCATCTGACGATCCATCAATAAAACCCCGTCATTCTCGGCTGAAGAAAATTGAGAAATACCTTCTGGCTACTTTAATATTCAAACATCAAAAAATAAATGAAACTTAATCAACAATTTATATCCAAAGAATTTAAACATGGAAATGAAAACATTCATGAAAAGCCTTTCGATCCCATCAAGGTCCGTTTCTGAATAGTTAATTAAAAAGAAACGCTATTAGGAAAGTAAAACTCTATTCAAAAAGCAATAATCTTCGTACTGATATAATCTTTCTACAAATGTAAATCATATTTTCAGATTAATTATAATACTTTTTTCCCCTATTTTTAGCGAGTGGATGATGTTACAGTATTTGAAAAAATCTTGAGCCATTTCAGCAATTTCTTTCTTCTCAACTTCGGTTAGCCATTTTTTCGAGTCACGGCCTTCTAAAATATACAAGTCAGAAAGTTAAAAATTTACAGGAAAGTCCCTAAACTGCATTGCAGAAGAACAAACAAACTTTTGCGAATCTTGTTGACGACAACTACTTCCGATTTCAATGGTGTTATCAGGGATGAAGGGTAGTTGCTGTCATCTGCAATAAAACGAATATAAGAGGAGAAAAGAACTAGTATATCATATATTTAAAACTCTAGTGGTCAGATCCATCAATAAAAAGCTCAGAATAAAAAAAAAAACGGCAAGCAACAAATAAAGGATACAGAGCAAAAGGCTAAAACATTTTTTTCCTTCTTCATTACTATATGTCTTTTTTCAGCTTCACTCTTATTTTATTCACTTCTAATGATTTCATTGCATTCATACGAAAGTCCATTACAAGATCGCTTGATAAGCACAGAAAATTTTATGACGGTGTGCGGTTCCACGTTGTATATGTATACGTCCATTCATAGCCATCTAAAGATTTCCAGTGCTTGCCACCAAATATCTTCATAAACTTAATCCTAACCCAATATTAACTAGCAATAGCGCTGTGTTCGACATGGCTGGAAGTCTCATAAAAGTCGGTTAAGCTTGGATAATATATGAGTCACTAACTCCATCAGAAAACGTTCAAAATTCCGTAAAAATGCTCTACAATTAATGTAAAACAAAAATGCTCAGTTCCTGTAAGCGAACGGAAAAATAAAACTAACCAGGTGGTGGACAGGCACTAACTTCATTACTGAAAGTAACACGACGCTTTGGCTGAGGAGCAGCATGTCGTCTTGCATCGTCATTTTCTTTATCACTAATACTATAAAATTTTTACTTGTTGAATATAATGTCATAAATTAAACACATACTGAAAATGTGATGTATATGTAAACAATGAGCTAGACAGGACAACAAAAACACCATGTGTCACAATTTTGTTAAACTGAAATTATGAAGAGAACATGCGTTATAGCCGATTGAATTTAAAAATCACTCACTCTCCAAACAACTATTACTAATGACAACACAGTGTTATTTATAAAAAAAAAATCAAGCTTCTGAATTCTATAATGCTGAACCATCTCTCAAAATGACAATAGGACCGTGTTTCTCTTTCAATATAAGAAATAATATAGTGCAGCCAAAAACTTACCTCTTAGTTTCAGCAGCAGTGCTACCACAGACATCTTTTTGTTCACCGGCATACAAAGTCCTATCAACGTCAGCGAAAGCCATAACTTGTGATCCCATAGACGCAGTCACAGATAAAGTAACTTCTGAGACTTTCTCAATATCACCTGCTTCATCTTCCTTCCCACTCATTTGTCGCACTAATTTTTCCCCTTTTTCAAGCTCGAACATGCCTACAACTTTCTGATTAATCTGTATTGTTTCTAGAAGAGGTTTAAAATCGTAATTACAGTGAAAATGAGCACAGCTTGATAACACCAAGAACGACCACTCCTATTTAAAACCATTTCTAATGAAGGTTAAACTAAATTCAGTTGTTTTTCCAAACTTATTCTATCAGAATAAAAAAAGGATAATTCATAGTCCATTTTAAGGTCATGTAGGATAATAAAATCTATACCAATATGTGGTCGCTGCACATATTCCTTAGCTTTTTTCTTCAAAAGACTTTTTCCAGGTTTCGGCATCGGCTTTACATATCCAGTCCTTGCTAGCACTGCTTCAGCCGCAGCACGCTTCGCAAGTTTTTTATTGGGTCCTATACCTTCACAACGAAGGCCATCATCGCAGATCACCTGTATTGTATATAACACTTCAATACGAAAATGTAATTCTGTTAGGACTTAACCATATAATATCATATCCAAAGCAAACCTCCATCACAAATTCTTTATAACGACTTTGTCCACGCTCAGCAACAAGTTGGAATTTTGGTTCATTTTGCTTACGGGCTTGCATAATCTGCATCAAACGACTGACTGGGTTAATTTGATGACCATACTCCGGATTCATTTTCATATCCTAAAATTTGCAATAACAAAAATGAAAATATACTTGATTATTAAGCTCGCAATGGACTGCAAGATGCGAAAACTAAGAACTGAAAAGAATACTGATGAACTCAAATATAGAATTTAGAGAGATGAGCACTCATAAAATGGAACTTAGTTTTAACTTTTACGCAGCATTACAAAACGAAAATTAGACAATTTCCAAACCAGAGAAGCATATTCCAACATTATTGCAATGACAATTATCAAATACCTTGCTAATCGTCTTTCGTTTAAGTTCCTTTGGTGCTCCGATTTTTTTCTGCGATTTCAACATTGCAGCAGCGATAAAAATTGGAGAAGATTCTACACAAAGTAATAATCCAATGTTTAAAAATTAATAAATCTTCGGGTGAAAAACAACAATTACTTTTATCAAATAACAAGTATTATAATTCTTAAAGCAAAATCATAATTACTAACCAACAGATTGTAATTTAGTTAGCATCAGTGAGCAAGCATTTTGTTTCGCAATTTTCTTACTGCTTCCTTCACCATCCGCAGAGATAACCCGCTCTGCTGAGATAAGTTTACAGCGTAATAAGTAGTGCCTGTCATGAGCTGGTCCTTCCTCTTTCAAAACCTATAAAAATTAAACAACTCCAACATCTGAGGTAGTAGGAAAGATAATCAAGACTTCATATGAGACAGTAATGAAAGAAAATTACGAAAAGAAAAGAAAAAACTATCAAAAAAGGAATCACTTTTTACCAGCAAATCACCTAACTTCGGAAGGCAAGCTGTAAAATTTCAGTTATTTGTTGCTGGATACAAAATATGTGACAGTGTCATGAGAAATAATCGGAAAGCTGTTGTGAATACAAATAAGGATACTACGGAAAATGAAAATGTGCATAATTTGTTACCAAAAACTCGACATTCATGCGCATATGAAGAGCACATTCGTGTATTTGAGAGATAGAAGACTTTGGCTTTCCATTGCGTACTGTTGTTATAACTGATTTTAAACTATCTTTTCTAATGCTTTCGCATCCAACCGTCGTTAATCCTATAGCTAGAAAAAACATTCACGGTAGCTGCTCTTTTTTCAGTTTAGTTTATGCCTTTGTTCAACCTTAAAATCATATGTAGATAAGGAACATAGAAATAATGAAGGTAAATTTTAGTCCAAAGAGACACTGTCCATAAAAAAAGACAAGAAAGTAATGTAAAAAACGGTAATGGTTATTGATTATTTCGAGCTAATGGTTTCCTTATTGCTAGTTCTATTTAACATTTCAGTTAATCCTATGGCTGGTTACTAAGGTTACGGATGATTAAACGAACAATCAAACTCCTATTTCTTTCAGAGAAAACTCTAGCTGTTTGAAATAACAAATTTCCACAAAGTTTAACAATGTTGGCTTCTTTATAAAAACCGTTTCAATAATGCCCATCTACCTAAAAAAGTAACTCGAAAATTTAATTGAATCATGTTACAAGTTCCGCTGATCAAACGAATAACTGTTACCGTTCTTTGACCCACTCATTGTTTTGTTTTTTGACTGTGCCTCCAACGTAGCCAAATAAGGTCCAAGATAAGAAAGAGCCTAAAAGTGCAGTAGCAGATTCTTAAGCCCGAATTTTAAATAAGAAATACTCCATGTAAATATTCTAAATAGAAACATGAAAAGTTAATATATAGTTAGTAAAAGTATTGCTATAAATATGTTGAAACACCAAATATAGAAAAAAAAAAAAAAACACACCTCATTAGCAGCACTGTTTTTTGCCCTCTTCTTCGTGATTCCCTTCCCAATAAACTCTGGGAAATCTTTACTTAATATCAAACGAACCTGAAATTCAAGTGAGAAATTGAACTTGAACAAAGAATATCCTGAATAAGCGAATATCTCACATTTGTGCTTTTCACGGCTAATTTTTTATTTTATTCATAAACAAACTTTGGACAAAATCAAAACAGTAAACAATAATACTGTTTCGAAAATACAGACTCCAACTTAAAAAAAGAAAAAAAGAAACTCGTCCATTTACCTTGTGAAGTTGTGAATGCGGTCGGTAACGATGAAAAAATGAAAATCGCGGAGGAATGATTGTAGCCGGTGGCCGTATCATAACTGGTAGTGGTTGCAATGTTGTAGGGACACGTGGTTGTCCAAATACTACTCTAGGCGGTGGAAGAACCAAGAACTGATCATTAATTACTGGGATAAAGGGAGCCCTTATGAGTGGTCTGCAATGGTTTCAGAGTAACTGTTAAGAACACGCGGAAGAAAAACAGTTATTTCTACAACGGGGATTATAAGATAAGAACAGCAAGTAGTGCTCGATATTCACGGAAAGCTTTACAATTTATTTGAAAATTTAGAAATCACAACTTAAGAAACTTATAAAATGAAGTAGAAGTCCAGAAACTACAACGCATTACAGCAAAATAACTGGATAACCAACTGCACTGGCAAACGGGTTAATGGATGTGGTGGCGTTGGGCATATCGGCACTGATTCGTCAATGAATTTGATCTCAACTCCAAGTCTTCCTGCGACATATCTGAGTAGAACTGTTGGGTTTTGAAAATCTGAAAGAAATACAATTTTCTACAGTTCTCTTCGAACATTTTCACCCAATTATTTAGAACCATTAAAAAAATTTAAAAGAAATATTTTATAAAATAGTAGAGGAATACTTTCTGATAAGAAGCCAATTATTCAACAGTTTGGTTCTTATAAGTTTACCATACAAAAATAGCAATAACTAAATCACGTCTTATTCAGTCTACGATTATTTTAAACAATAAATACAGGAACAGAAAAAATGCAAAATAATTCCTAGCATTCAAACAAAGTACGATCTAACAACATTTAATAAGCACTAATCTTACCACTTCTGACTTTTTTTGAAGAGACCTTATCTGGTGGCTTAGGCAAAATGGTTCCATTTAAGGCAGTTTCAGCAGCTGACTGTTGCGCTTTCTTGATGGATGCTCCCTTGCCATAAAATACCTGAAAATTTTCTGCAAAAGTGTAGAAAGTAAAAAGTGATGTAAATAAGAATAATTCAATTCTATACGGTACAACTACACTACATAAAGAAAGAAAACACTTACCTGATCAGGGGTAAGTACAAGTGAAACGGTAAATTGTTTTTTGTGAGCTGGTCCACTTTCATCCATGAGTTTGTACTCATGCCTGATCTAAAGTATTTTTCCAATACCAACGCTTATATTCTTCATTAACAATAATTTAAAAAAAAAAAAAAAAAGACAAATTGATTCAATTAATACATTAATCCATCCATAAGACTAATTAAAATTATACTGGGAAATATGAATGCGATCAAAGAATTTAATCGATACCTCCCTTAACCTTTTCTCGCAATTCAAACTTGTAAAACACACTTGCTACAATTCGGAAAAAAGCTAACTTTGTTGTAGCGAGCGAGCTCCGCAATGCGACACATTGGGGTCCTCTGGTGGTTTGCATCAATTTGTGAATAGTTATAAACATATTTTGTAGGAGAAATTTCTTCTAAAAAAGAATTATTTGCAAGCATGACAACTCTAAGGAAACGGCAGATGGAGTAAAAACATTTGCCGCATAGGCACTCACTAAAACAATATCAAAATTAGGTGAAGATTTATTTCCAAATGAGCAAAAGCAATATTTGCATGAAACACTTACCCTGGTTCCATTTCCACTTGATTTACAACGATGAGACCCAATTAAAGGATGTTATATTTGAGAATAGCACAATTTTAATATATAATTAACATAAAGACCTGTAAACTGCTGTCCCCACCACTTTTCTCGATTAACCACTGAAACATCATTGGCAGTGCCATTTATTACACGCTGCGCACTTGCTCCCTTCATACAATTGTCTGCTGGTGATGAGGATTGCTTTTAGACAACCTGAACAAAAAAAAAAGTGGTATAACCGCTTACACGTCATTTGCATGACTAGAGCTATTCACGAGAAGTCGGAAAACTAATTATATTAAGATTTTTGATTCAGGAAACAGTTTGATGTTGGAACAATGTTAACAGCACGTTTCGTAGATACGAATTCCAATCTCAAAGGAAAACACCAACACAAAGGAGCCATATTTTCTAGAGTCATTAACAATAAAGCACAACTACTAGAAAATATCAAAGGCTTGGCCGAGCACTTTTGCAATTTGTATCGTTTTGTATCTCACAAAAGGAAAAAAAAAAAGAGATGACAAATAGCGTGAATAAGAAAAAACTATGATATAATCATGTCACAGTCAGCATAGAGATTTACCTAATATCAACATGTATATTATTTTACACCTTTTGTTTCAGAGTGCCTCTCAAATCCACTATGCTCCAAGCTTCTTCATTACTTGCAATCTTAATGTTCGCTTCAATCATACTGAACCATTAGCTGGAGCTTCCCTAAACTACACTTACAGCCCAAAAATTGAATTTAGAGCACTTCAGTACACTAATACCCACCAACATATTACATGTCGCTAATCCAATTTTAGTCATTCGCAGAAACACAGCGTTGAAACTACTCTAGTTGCTTTAAGTAGGAAACCAAACTTTATCCAGATTCCTCAACCAAGATCTTAGCTATTTTCAAATTCATCTGGTGGGGCTCGGAAATGGCGGCAATTATGATAATTCACACTTGCACACTACTCTTGCTTAGGTGACGATAGCATCGGTAATAGAGAAAGAAAAGTGACTTCACATTTAAATTTCACGATGTTTTGAACAAATGAGAATGAAGAAAGCAAATACTACTTGCTACGTCACATAAGCATAGCAAAAACTTGGATAAGCCATAATAAGAAGCGTAGTGAACAAGTACTGCTATAATGCAACTAGAATTTTTCACAGGTTGGGATTGAATAATAAAGTCGTCCCTTATCACACATATGTATTCTAAAGGTGCAATAACACTTCAGTGGAAGAGGTAGGTTGGAATGAGATTTATTTTATTGGACATGAATGTAAGGAGATCACACACATGATACAAAGTATGCATAAAAAAGACAATACAATAATAAGTGTGACAATCTATTTCAAAATGGCCAAAAAATCAATAAGTCTATAAATGAAAATAACAAGTAAATGACAAAATACTCATTAAAAACAATTCAATAAAAGCTTTCGACTGTCCACTCCAATTAATGCTCGCTTAAATAACGTCTTCCAGCTTCCGACGTACGAACGCTGAAATAATGGTGATGCTTGTAATAATACAAAATATACGAATCAGTACCGCGAAAGATGCAAGAACACTCGAAATGTGATTTTTCAATTTGAAAATTTAAAATTTTTTAAAAAATTTAAAAAAATTTATTTTTTAAAAATTTTTCAATTATACTAATATCTGCACCATCCCTCTTCCTATTTCCCACAAAAAGTCGAACTGGACAAAACAAATCTCTCAACTACGCTGCACCTTATTCCCTCGTTGAAAAATATTGAAAGAAAGACGAAGATTTTATTAACCACTGTTGCAGCAAATATTGTGCTGCCTGAATTTGCTCTCGAGTACCAGATATTGTTATGATCCGATCACCACCATTATCGCGATGAGGCTCAACTTCGATCTGTGCTCCCGATTCTTCACGCACTCGGTTGATTCGTGAACCACCTTTACCTATTATCGCACCTCCTAATTCGTCCGGAATTGTAACCTAAATATTATATAATAACAAATACAAATCCCTCAATATTAAATTGTTATGGGAACCTAAAAATTGAATATCCCCACCTTTTCCGAAACCCATGAAAAACCAATTATTTGCCAAAGTAAAAAACAGTGCTATTCTTAAAATAACAAGATTAACAAATATAACTACATCTCTATATAACAAATACATCAGTATGCTACGATAAAACATATATATATATATATAGTTTGCGCATAATCTTTCTTTATTAAGAAGTACTGCTCCACAGCCAAATCAAAGAAAGAGGTGAAAAGCAGATTTAGTAATTTAAGATATTGTATTTCTAAAAAATAAAAATCTTAAGAAATCATGTTACGTCAGTTGTTTCCACCTGTGTGGTCTGCATAGCTGGAATAGGTGAATAGCGGCCCATCATATCCCTCATTCCACCATAACGATCATCTCTTCCAGGATATCGTGAAGGAATTATACCACTGCTAAACCCAAAGTCTCTTCCTCGACCTACACGTGAGATAAAATTCCGATCAGGAACATACCCACCATAATCGCTAATGATATCTGGATCATAATACATCGGATCATATGGCCGAACAGGTCCCTTTATTGGGATCTAAAAGTCACAAACTAAAATTCCGGATTTCTTTTTCAAGCATATTCAAATATATCATTTATCATAAAGGCGTTGTTTCAATGTTATTCAAAGATCAAAGAGCTTTTGGTCATTGAGAAACAGTTTAATACATTACCTCTTTCAACACATCAATAATGATATTGATACAATCAATTATTTTTTCCACTTCACCATTCAACAGTACGATTCTTTCAGTTGATTGTGGTGCACAACGAGAAAAAACCTGTTAGTGCTTTAAAGATAAGATATTTTGCGATTAAGTTTTTTTAATTTTTTTATATTTGAAACTTCTGCCTCTTTCTTCAATACAACTCTACTGTTCCCTAAAAAAACTATACGCTTTCTACTCGATATTGTAAAAAAAAAAAAAAAAAAAAAAAAAAAAATCAATTAATAAATCTAAATTAATAAGAATCAGAATAAATAAATTATATATATATATATATATATATATATTCGGAAATAATATATTAAATGCTTTTATAATTGTTCACTCAACTACTTCATTTCGAAAATTTGAGACATGCCATATATATCCAATTACGCACGTAACATAAACTGAAAACGAGTAACAAACCTTGAGTTGTGCCCCAGTTTTTTCGCGAAGTTCCTTTATTCGTGACCCACCACGGCCAATAACAGCACCGGCATGAGATTCATGTACTAAAACTTTCATTTCACTATCCGATCTGTCTGCTTTCTTCATTCGTCGATCATGATCATCTTCGCGATTCTGAAAACTTTCTCCATCATTATCTTCCACTGCTTTTAGAAAGATCGAAGTTTCAAATCTCATCCTCATTAAAACCAGTGAGCTGGAGTCCATTAAAACCATCATATTCCACTGTTCAAGCACCCTTTAATCCTCGTTCGCAGTGATAACGACTAACAAATTCAGAAATTTTTTTGGTTGCTTTTAAAATTTATAAAAATTGGAACTTACTTCATCCAGACGTGGTATAATTTCACGTAAGCAGTTTGCGATGTTTTCTGTTGTAGCTGTGAGTGTCAGTACCCTGAATGGCATGTAAAATACAGTTGTAATGAGAAAAAAAAAAAAAAAAATTCCAAGAAGCATTTTGCCTGTATGAATTCATGGGAAAATCATGCAAATTTCACAGGTGTAGTTTCAAAAACATAAAAGTTCAAAGCTACTGCCCAGTAATCAAATTACAATCTGAAACCTAACGGCTGCAAGAAAAAGTACTGTTGGAACGAACTGTTTACCTTGCAATACTGCAAGGAAGCTCCAAATTGAAAAATAACGTGCTCCAGGCTAATTAAAATCTTTAGTTTATTGAAAACTTCTTATTTATAAAAAAATGGCCTCCTCTGCTAAAAAATTTGGGAAACATGCCCCTCTGCTCTTTGTCTCAATTAAACATGATGTTCCTACAATATTATTTCCACATGAAGTCTCACATTGCTTTTAAGGAAAACTACAACTAAATGATCTCTCTTTACAATACCACTTCAAAATATGTTTTTTGGTTACCACAAATCAATTAAATTTACAACACCACAAAAACTGTCTTTCAGATTTCAGGACATCCCTTAGTTGAATGAAATCACTTAAAAGCTATCAAAATCTTAAACTGCACCAAAGTGCGCCATATTCCCAAACAATTAAGCAGGCGAAGGCAGGCAGGCATGTCACCTATTTTGTAGCAGTAGATTTATGAAAGAAATGTGGAAGGTAATTCAAGGTCAGCCTGTTAGAGCTGTAGGTTTATCCATCGTGTGGAAGCCCGGTGGCAATACGGTCGTGGCCCAACGAGTAATCAGTAGTGAGGGCAACAAGTATTTCCAGGATAAATTACCGTTCGGGCGTCTGGCTATCTGGGACGGTCAGGTTCGCGTCGAACTGCAAATGAGCATTAGTTTGGGCTGTGTTCACAATTTCGTAATTCATGTGTTCAGTCCGCCAAACAACAAAAAGTCTAAGGCCGTTGCATATAAAAGTGATTTAACAACTTTTTGAACTTTCCTGAAGTTCTTGGAATCAAGAAGTTTGCATTTACAAGCAAATCTCAATCATCAAGGGAAAAGAAGGAAAACACCCTGCATAAGTTGTGGTCGAAAACGCATTTGCTTAACAAGTTAAAGCCAGCTGCAAACATCGAAACCCTTCGTAAAATAAGTCGATTACTTAAAAAGCCTGCTTCCTGGAATCAAAAACTCATTCAAAATTACTGCTAGAAAACTATACTGTCCAAGAGACGTGTAAATTACTAAAATCGTTAAGCATCAGAAAGTCAGTTTAGAAAGAATGCGCTGATATTATTTGTTAGGCAAATGAGTTTCGGTCGACGCTCTAGGTAATAAATTCCAAAACGGAGAACTGTAAAATATGAAATATATGGGTGTTACCCAAATGGCAGTACCTCAGAACGGAGGCGTTTGATATTCTCGCCTCCCCTGCCAATGATACCACCAGCGCCTCGACTCGTCACTACCAATCGTAGTTCATATTTGCCATTCGCTAAAGCTTCTTCATAACTGTCCATTCGTGTCCGTTTACTTCCACTTCCAAATCGGTCTCCTGCAGAACGTTTCATCCCTTTCTGTTAAACTGTGAATGATTCTGAAATACGACTAACGACACATTTTTCCAAACAAATTAATAGCGAACTCAAGCTATCTTGTAATTAACATAGTAAGAAGTCAGCCCATTAAATAAACCCAGACAACCAAAATTTCTTCCACTTGTTACCACCTTAATTCTCAATTGTTAATCATAATGTGGCTTATATTGTTCAATACATCTTATTTAGCTCTTGCTGGTTGTATTCTACTGGATCAAACTGCAGAAGGGCTTGCTTTATACCTTATGTTTAAGCGGACCACATTCTAAATTACCATTCAGATAAAAAATGTCGTTGCACTTAACAGCAATTAAAAGTTATTCTGGAAGAGAGGATTGTGTTTATACAAAGTACTATGAGAACGATTGGGACACCTCTTCCACTACGGAAATGATGTTACATTTCACCCAGACCGGACTTTCTCTTCTTTGCTGTTATTGCAATTTGTAGTTTGTCAGAGAGGGCAAAAAATGCATAAACCAGGTATCGGATGAGAAAGAAGAAATTTGCTCCACCTTGGCGAACCTTCCACTAAAAATAGCAGCACAGAAAGATGAATAACTTACCCCCAATGTCTCTCCCCGTACTCCCCTGGCAACCCCACCTTGACATTGAACATCCAACCTCACAAAAGTCACAACTACTAACCAACCACTCCCTCTGTGCTACTGCTCAATCAATATTCACGGTCGTATAGTGCAATCTCTGTTTCCCATTTTTACAATTTATTTACGAATATTGTGTGAAGGATTTTATTCGTTGTGAGATTAATTGAAAGCTACTTACGAAACAGAAATGATTTTTAAAGCACTTTTATCATCTCTTCGTCCCAGCTTTTATGAAGTTTGCACATACAAGGTCGCATTTTCTACTTCCAAATTTTTACTAAAATTTCAACGAATCCTCCACAAATTTTATTTATAGATGCAGCTAACTAATCCTTTTTTAAAGAGAACAATTTTGTCCGGCTTTTTTGTTAGCACTATTCCTGAGGGGAGAGATTTTGCCGTCATTAAATCTCGAATTTTGGCGTGGAGTAGTTAAGAAATAGCTTACAATCTGATTCAAGTTGACTGAAAATGAAAAGCACTAGCATGGGATGAAAAAAGAGAATAATCATATCTCTTTTATAATGTATGTCTCATAAACAACGAAGAGATTTCTACAAAAAGTCGACATTCCTTATTTCCTGAATTCTTTCCATCTGATAAATTGATCTATACTGCAACAAATATTTCTTGAATGATGGAAACTTTTCTCGTCCACCTTTTCAGAAATATCTTTAATGAACAAATTAAACTGTGGTCCATCCACTTATCCTTGTTTCTGCGAAAGAAACAGAACAGTTGTTATTTAGAGAAGGAAATGCATCAGTGGGAAGGAATTTTTTGATATTTTTTCAGAATCAAAAAAGATATCGTTACAGTTTGTAGTTGATGAAAGAACGGAATACTTTTCACGGAATTATTCTTTATAATTTCGTTTTCCTTGTTTTGCTTTTTGAACATCAGCTAGTGACTAAATCAAAATTTCTAATTCTCCAACGATTAACATGAGCTCTAAAAGTTGATGCTTATTTCTAATTCTCCAATGATTAATCGACAAAACAATACAAATACAGTGTATATATCATAACAAAAGAGTGTGACTGAAAATTTTCCTATTTAAATTAAATTGCGAACTCCTCTTACGATTATTTCACGTACATAAATATGACACTAAAGAAATTTGTATCGAATATATTAACTAAAAAAAGTATTATATTGGATTTAAGTGCTTCAATTAATTCGGTTTATATCCTTCATTTGGTTATGACAAAAAATTTGTATAATTATAATAGTAATGGTAATACGGAAGAAAGGAAAAAGGGAAGAAATAATATTCACAATGACAGGAAAATTATTATAAACGAACTACTATATTAAAATCTATTAGAGCTAATTATATTAAATCAAGCTGTTATATTAAAAACTATTATATTAAAACCGATAAAATCATAAAATCCGATCAATAAATTTAATCTTTACATGTTACCGCTTAGCAATACTGAGTGATAACTTGAATAACATTTACCTCAATGCTGCTTAACGATCAACAATTTGACAAAGTCATGAGCAAGCAAGTTGAACTCAATAATAAAAATAACGATTTTTTTCATCATAGTAGTCTTACTGTCTGTACTCTGTTTTGATATTCATGGATATTTCTTTTTTATTATCGCATAGTGATAGCAGACAACGTTCTTCATTGATGTCACAAACATTTTTTACCAATTTTCAAACTGAGCAAGCAAGTTGAACTAAATAAAAAAAGTAACAATGTGGTAAATTTATTCATCATAATTTACGATTAGGTTGACATAAGACCCCTACTATTTATGTTCCTCAAAATGACTGAAAACATTAAATGAATGATACCAATCACTTTCAATGTGTAATCAACTAGTGCAGCTCATTTCCGCATAAAAAAGAAAATGTACAAATTATTTCGCTTTCTCACCATTTCATCACATTACCAGCATTTCAAACAATTGCTCAACCTCGAAAAACAATGACAGATTAGTAACCGGCTTAAAAAAACCCCAATTATAATCCATTTTTTGCAAATTACAAGTTAATTACAAACCGTTTACAAACCACTTACAAACTGACTACAAATCGTCTGCAAATCCGCTTCATTTCATGTAATAGGAAAACAAGTTTTCTGTGTCAGTGATAAAAAAATAAAATGAGCCTTTTGTACTAATAACATTTCAGTGTACTAGCGAACAGTTCAAACAAAGCAAGGTGGAAAAATCCGTGAAAAAAAGTTAAAAGATTTAAAAAAACTGAGGAGTACCGAAAATTTCTTTCAAATAAAGTTTTGACTAAACATTTCTGAAAAATACTTGCATTACGATGTGAATGACCCAATAACTAACTAATACTTTCGCTTTCTCTGCTTTGTTAGGTGATAAGTTCACTGCAACCAGACTGATGGATAGATTATTTATTTTATTATGCGTACGACTGAAAAAAGTTGATTAGAACAGAATTAAATAATAACTTGAATTGCTAAAATGATAGATTAAATAAACGAATATTCACACAGATTATTTTAAATTGCGATTAACAAAGAACGCTCACACATACGCGCAACACAAAAACAATATAATACGGAACTAGGATTTGTCTTTTATGAAGTGTGCAAATACATTTGATGCGTACAAAATGCTAATAAATAATTTTTCAGATATTTGCGGATGGAAGATTATATGTAGACGTGTGTAACTTAATAATGACTACATTTCATACTTTATTTTTCAGAAGAGAAAATGAATCCAAATAATACCTTTCGTATAATAATGCAATCTGAACAACCAGTTCTGGTCTATATAGATTCAAAGTTTGAGTTTAAAATTAAAGGAAGTTACTAATATGAGAATTCTTAGGCGACAAAACATTAGTGGACTATTAGAAGACTTTTCGATTTCTTACTTAGCATAATTTTAATAAAATAATAAAGCAACCGATCGAATATTAAAAATCATGAAGCATTTGGCGTAAACAAGAAATAATATCAACTGGCAGCTTCTGAGGTTGTAGTACGTACTTAACCAGAAATACCAATTAATAATCGTTCAAAGAATCTCTAATACTATTATCGTATAGGTTTGAAGTAAGCTGCTATATTACAAAAATAGTGTGACCTGATCGTTAGTAATAATAGATGAGAAATATTTTTAAAAGTCTTTATTATCATAAGCCATAGTGTCATTTGATATGGTTGTATTCATATCTCAGATAACTGCATAATATCTAACTATACAAACAGTCTTTTCTTCACAAATCATAATTTGAATGAAATGTCTTTTCAGAGCATTTTCCATTAAACATAAAATTCAGTTTTGAATTTTCAAGAATTATCATTAATTATTAGACGTCAAATTAATTAATATAAACCCAAAAATCTACAAATTTAAATATGAACACGTAAAACACTGTTTAGTGTTAATTCCAAGTTTAAAAATGAACTTCATTAGAGTTTTTTTTTTAAACTTTAGACTTTTTTTTCTTCTTGTAGTTCTCATTACAAGTGAAAAGGTTATTTACTTACATAATTGCTATCATTGTTAACGTTCACAAAAAAAAATAATTTAGATATTGAGTTGCTTTTCAAATTTACCAACTTTTTTCACTTTAATTCAATTGCATGCTTAAGATTGAATTAATTTAATGACGGTTATTCTAATTTTAATTATTACAGCAATTCAGTTTTTGGTAAAAGCCTTCTTTTCCATTTCACTTGCTAAACAATTGGGCTTTAAAGTGAATGCTTATTTAGCTACATAATCAACGAATTTCGCATCCTTATTGTAAAAAATAGCAAACACAGTTAATTTGCCACATTTGCCACAATTTCATTAGTATATAGATTAGATATGAATTAATCATGCATAAAGCAGCGATTGTTACTGATCGTTTTGCAAATATCCTTCAGATATTAGTGTTGTATCAGTGTCGCATAATCTTTTTACCTACCTGAAACTATTATGGTTGTCACTCATAAATATGCGCTGCAAATACTCTTATACCATAAAAATGATTTACCTTAAAAATGAAATACGAAAAGTGGGAGAGGTAACGACCAAAATAATTGGACGGGAAAGACGCACATTCTTTGGAGAATGGTTAACTGCAATTCACTCTGTAATCCAAATGGACTTTAATTGGTGGTTAACCTCTTTGTGCAAGAGGATTATATATTGTTTATTTGAATTTTTGAAGGATGACACCTCCTACCTGAAACATTAATTCTAGGGACTGAAAAGCCTGGGGAAATTATGTTAGTAATATCAATAGTTTAAAGAGTAAACAACGCAGTGCTAGACCGTACAAACTGGATAATTACTGCTTTTCTCTCTTCAACGGAAATTCCACAAACATGGATAGAAACGGATAAGGTTCTTATTGCTATTCGATTATCAACTTGTAATATGATCTATAAAAGATTTGTTCATAAAATATGGGAGATCTAGAATGATAGATTATTATATTGTACAGGAAAATTTTCAAGGAATGGTCCTATTAACATGAATAAATGCCACACAAAATTTTACTTCAACGAGTCTCACAAACAGTGCGTTTAGATCAAACAAGCGATGAATTCTAAATGTGTTTAGTTTCGGAATTTATAATCTCGAAATAATTTAATTTTTTATAATTGTAAAAAACAAGCACATTATCTTTTATTTGGTTTGACGATTACACCTCAGTGAAAGCATTTTTGGCAATAAGTGTATGGGAAGGTCGTATATTTAATTTCTTTCTACCTTCAAGAAAATTGATAGAGTCAACAGAATTCTTTTTGATACTTGCTTGAGACCAACGATTATGCTTCACGATCATACTTTTCCATAGTCCTTGAAAACCGTTTTTGCGTTTCTCTATAAAATTTTTAAAAGGTGATAGTTTAATCTTCAAGATTTCCAATAACCTATACTGTTGAGAAGCCATTTCAAGTAAGTTAAAACGATCCATTAAAAATATTCTGTAATATTATTATATGAAGTCAATTCTCATACACTGTAGCAATTTACTTATTTGATTAAAATAAATTGATGCATATTTCCCGTAATATTTTCAGAAGCGAAGCTTCTAAAAAAAAAAAAAATTATTTTGCAAAAGTAGATAAAATGAAATCGAGATGGAACGAATATTAGTTACGGAAGAAATGTTTCTGAAATGTCTTTTCTGCTAAGAGAAAAACGAGATAAATAACGGAGTGAATTAGTTGCGTGAAAGAAGCTGCTTAGTGGTGTAATAACAGTTAAGCAATTTTTTTTCAATCGCTTTGAAAACAAATTATTCTTCCTAAATATAATTATACCATTAACTAATGACAAATAACTTCTGAAAAGCGAAGACATACTTGGAAATACCGAATAGTTCATATGGTCCTTCGTCAACAGTATGATGCTGGGATGCGATTGCGTCCAGCATTTTATATATTATTAGGTATGGTAAACTCCGACTAAAATGCAAAAGCATAAAGTTTCCTCATTTCAATAGATTATGATGAAAAAGATCAGGAAATTTCCAATTTTAATAGCATGTTTATATTTTAGAGAAGGCAGGAAGAACGCATTGTAAGAGAGAAGAAAAATATGTAAAAAAATTTGTAACACGAATAGAATGTTTACTTCTGCAATAATAGATTTATGTAGAGACAGTTTGCTAACATAACAGAGTTTTTTTTACCAAAGATATTTGGATTTACTTTACAAATCCAGAAGCAAATATTCTAAACATTTAAATAAATTTAGGCGACATTGCTATCACCAGTAAAATTTACTAAGGTTTGATTTCCTCAAGCAATGTAAACACTCCACGTAGCCGGCCGAGATCGATTACAGTCCTGTTGGCACCAGTGTTATTCATAAACACTGGGGGTTTCATCTGCAGTTCACGTTTCAATATCACTATTTCCTACAAAACAAATCAAAATATTTGATTTTAGAAGGCTCTTCATAAAAGTACTAATTCCTGTAGTATTTTGATCATTTCGTGTTCATATCAGCGATCGATTTTATTTATTGATTGATTTTTTTTTCTTTTTTGCCTTAACGACAAGATTTTATTATTTTTGAAACATGGACATCATCTGGATTTAAATGGATGAAATATGCCGATAAACAGAATGACATGAAGTCCCATTTCTTTGGGGAAGAAATTATGAAAACAATAACCTCAATATTTTTTAGTCCTTTCCATGGCAAATAGCCTTGCAAAAATTCACAAAACATATAAATGCAAGAGATTATGTCATCTTTTGGAAACTGTTCTAAGTGATTGTGAACCGACACTGAACTGCAATTCGATTAGTCGTTCATTAATGAGATTTAATAACAGAGAACTGAAGAGAAGCTAAATATTGGCCCTCGATCACAAACATTACGCTAATTCATATTAGGTCCATTCAGCGAATGGATGAATCAAATATTTTGTTAAAATTTCAGGACAGAAATGTGCTTCGAATTTAGAAATAGCATTGTTATTAATTCTTAAGTGCTGAGAGCTTTTGAAGGATAATAAATGGTATAAAAGTTTATTATATTCAAAATTAACCAATATTTATAGGTGCCAGTAAAAGCAGTTACTCTTCGCGGTGGTTTGTTCATATCTTTGTACTTTCGGGCAAATGTTAAGTCAATAAGACATATTTGTTCACAAAGATCATTTTGAAGAATCATTTTTGAAAAGGGTTCAAGACGGATCGCAAAATTATACGGTGCGACACAACGGTGCACATAACCTATCTGATGTAATAACCGTAAAGCCTGAAAGAGTCAAAAAAGAGGAATTTATGTGGATCAATCAAGCACTGATTAGGAATTTTGCATTCTCTACATATAGCAGTTTAAATTAGATTTAAGATTTCAAGATGATATATATTAAAAGGCAAGAGATGGCCATTCCTGGAACTCAAGATTAACATAATCTGCCATAATCTACTAAACAAAGACTAACCTTAATGCAACCGATAATTACATCTCGAGTAATCCCAATATTTAAGACACCAAATTGAGTCATCCGGAAAATTTCTTCTAATGTTGGTTGAATTTTCTCTTGCAGGAAATATGGTCTTGGATTTGGGTATGGAAAATAAATAAGCAACTTCGGTAACATATCGCTTGTTGATAACTTCTGAAAGTTGAAACATGATAATCTATTATTAATTTTAGACTTTTCAATACCGAATGTCATAGATATTGAAATAGGAGATGAGATTGTTTGATAGATTTAACTAAGGTAGATTATTAGAGGAAAGCTTTCTTCGATAATAATTCGCTTGCAACATTGAATTGAAAATTCGCAGAAAGGTCACCCACTGAAACTAATCTATAAAACTGACTTCCTTGTAGCAAAGTTCTTCAAATGCACCACATCCAAACACTCCTGGGAAATGTTTTCGTTGCCTAAAGATTAAATTTTGAATATAGGGAAAAACGAAGGGCTGATTTGCACATAAAAAAGTAAGGTTGTAAGTAAATTATATTTCTTGCAAGAAATCATGCAATTCATTTGTTGATATTAATAATCCGATAGAAATAAGATAACAATGAGGTTTTTTTTTTTTATAAGTAAGTAGTACCGATAATTTTGGTAGCGCTTTTTAAGAAGAAGAAGCAATTTGTATTGTTGCATGAAAAACACGTGGTTCCTCGAATTGTCTGAATTACATAATTTCATTACATGGTTGTTATTTTCCTTCGCCATTATCTGGAATCCATCAGTAACGACATTTTTTTTAAAAAAATAATTTCTGAAATGACGAAAGCATTTCTCGAACAGGCACATAAAACACTTACTTCAGGAAAAGATGCGTTTTCTTTATACAAACGCATAACGTCATATTCGATAGTAACCAAATTGCCACGCACAGGACGCATTCCGATAACACGCCAGTCGCCTTTGTCGTCTCTGTTATGGAATTCTCCAACAAACCTCGACTGATCGATTTGCAGCTTTGGTTGCTAGATTAGGAAATAAATTTCTGGGAAATTATGAAAATGGAGGTAATCTCATCTATGATTTTTGTCGTAGGTACTTCTGACAATTGGGTTAATTATTAGTTTATATTTTTTTCAATCTACTCAAAAATTAGTTAAAACCAAAATTTTTGCTTAACCCTGAAATTGCTCTCAGTTTTGATTTTTAAATTTGGCTATTCGTAATCATCCAATTCTAGAAAATATGTTTTAAAACTAGTGAAGTTTATTTTAGGACGAAAGTATAAATTAAAATACAAAAAGATAAACTTCATTATTAAGTTTCAGGGTTTGCGAAATGTATTATTATTTAAATAAAATTCATAAAGTGCTATCAAAGCATTTACTTAAGTCTGCTTGATAGTTCCTTAACTAAAAGACAGATAATTTCATTTTCCAAGATAAGCTTACTGCTTAGTTACATGTTAATTTAGCCAAGCCAGACCCACGGCATTGAAATAATCCATTTTCCTAGACTATGTAATCTTTTTTACATTATTTTCCAACTCACTTTTTAAAAGAATTATAAAATTTACATACAAATCCAAGAAAGAAAGAGCAAGAAATTTTACAATCTAAGCTTGTCACAATCACTCGATTAATTTATGTATAGATGATAGATGAAATATTGCATGTACAGAAATAATGGACATCAAAAAGGGAAGCACCATATCAGATTCAATCTGTTAATAAATAATCAAAGATCGAAGATCAAACCCGTTTAATTTGACTCCACAAATTCCAATATTTTTTTGGAAGACAGACTTCTTTGCGAAACAAATCACCTGCAAACCTAAGCACATCAGCCATTTCTGTCAGTTCTTTTCCCAACTGTTTCGAATTCTGGAAAAATGTTTGTGGGAATATGGCTCTAAGTAGAAGCTGCCAAAAAAGAAAAGTATGAGCTGAAGAGAATCAACTGAATAACCGTTTGTATTTCATTAATTCATTCAATTAATTTGTTTAATAGATGCTAGATGCAGAAATAATGGACATAAAGTTTCAATTTATGTTTTGTATTAACTTATAATTATCGAACAAAGAAAAACTGTGCTAACATATTATTAAAGTGTGTGCAGATCTACTATGATAGCTATAACTGCTTAGAAATGAACTACTGTTCAGTAATCTTCACTTACTGTAGTTTTTTTATTTCTTATTCAGTATGAGTTATTTTCCATTGAAGTTTTCTAAGTTTCACGATACCTTTTTTGCAACAAGTTGTTGTACAGTAGCCTGGCTATCTTTTCCAGCATATTTTATTGATTCCTCAGATTGCTGCGAATTTCTCAAAATCTCTCTAATTTTCTTTATCATTCTTTTCGAGAACGAATCTTTTTTACTTGAAATCTTCAGTTTGAGTCTGCACTTATAGTGACTTCTAAAATATGCTTGTACACTGTGATTCATTGTCTCTCTCTTCATGTAACATCAAAATGGACATGTTGCTTGGCCTTCTATATCTGATAAAGGAAAAAATTTCAGTTAATGAGCACTTTCTCAAAAGCATTAAACTTAAAACGACCGGATCTATTATAATATAGGCTTTTATTTAAAACAAAGTTAAAATTCTCAATCACATACCTCCTCGCTCAGAATTGAATGAAATAGAATAGTTTGAACAGAAAGCAACCGGTCGATCAGTCTTAATTGCATGAACTGATGCAATTTTTCTAGTGAACGCACCCTACTTCACGATAACTTTTATTCAATGAACCACTGCTGCAGCAAGAAATGCAAGTATATGCCTTGCTGAAGATCATAATTTCAGTTTATATTTTCACTATTCATCCATGGTTGTTAGTTTACTAGGCTCCTGTCCTAGTGACAAATACCATCTCAGATCTTATTTACTTGTTTAAGACTATCATTACTTCTTTGCTCTTAATTCAGTAATTTCCAGTCAAGAACATATATCCATATAACAATAACATATGTTTTTCAGGGATTCATTTGCATTTCTGGACGTTTTTAAAATTTTTAGAGATTTTTGGAAGAGTTAAACGAATCTTCAGAGAAATCATATTTGTTTTTTTTTTTTTTTTCATCGGAACAGCACGTTGTGAAGGATTTTTGATCATAACGTTTTTTTCCTTCATAATACACAAATTTTCCGCTTACTATCGATCACGCCACCAATTTTTTCATTATTTTGTAAAATGCAAAATAATTGTGAAATGAGTCCTTTAAATTTCTACCTCTTGTTTCTTTTCTGCAACTTTTACCCAATTAGTAATCCCTTATTTTCAGTTATTTTCAATGATGGACTTAACTTTAAGGATATTTTTAAATGACGCGTATAAAGCGTAAAACAAAGATTTTTCGTGTATGTACGGCTCATTTCACTCAAGTTCTATTATCTTCCAGCATCTGTAAGGCAGACTGCTTTGTCGTTTTTCAACGAACGAAGTAAAACCTTTAATCAAAAGTAGCTCTTAAAAGGCTTGTCATTTGAAAATCTGCACTTGTTGCTGAAATTGTGGTAAAGTTTTTCCAGATTTTCTTTTTTTCTTTTCTTTTCTTTTATTCTTTCTGTTATAGAAATTAAGTTGTGCTTAAGATTATAGGATTGGAGATGTCATAACAGATGAATATATTCGCATAGAAAAGAAAGAATTTCAGGTGGAAATGTTGAAAATACCATTCCTGTAGAACTTACGAATAAAAAACTTTCTATATTTAAATACTTCAAATTAACCCAACAAATCTTTGCAACCAGGTTGTTCAGTGAATATGAAGTTGAAATATTCCCGCCAAGCCAAAAGATTCTTTCACAATTTTCACACTAGCAATTTTACTATATCAATTTCAAGCATTTTCTGGAAGGGTCGCTTAAAAAGAGTTGACCAAATATATAATTAGTTTAACCAAAGCTCATACTTATTTAAAATTTAATTGTAGAGTAAAAATAATACTAACGGCATTGTTATGAATTTTATAGCCATTTATCAGTTCTCAATTACTGTTATGTAAATTCATATTATGCTTATTCACAAATTATAGCAACAACGATAGGTTACAGATGGCAATACGACATAGCCAAGCGTTTATAATGTGACACTGATGCAGTGAGACAACACAAAAAAGCTTCTATCCTCTTTCATAAAATGAAAAAAGTGAAAATAATCTGTTATCTGCCACCATAAACGTTTTAAGGAAATTGTTGATCAGTTTTGGATAAAATTATTCGTCGTTTATTCATAACGAGTAATACAAGATAATATAGCTATAAAAACGCTCCGTCACAATAAATGAATATTTCATTTAATTTTATTGAAATAGGTATAAGTGTTTGCATTCAGTCTTCCTCATACTGTCTCCAGTGTTCATCCGACTCGCGTAGTAATGCGACTATTATGAACTGTATTATACTTTTCTCTTGTGTGTCCTTCAAATTTACAATTTTAAATGATCCATACATTGGTGGATGCTGATTATTATTCTCTTAACCATCTAACCCTCTTTCGACTTCATACGCTCATATTCCGGATATTTCTATTTTCGTGCTAATTAAGTAAAGTATTAGTTTAGCTTTTTAACCTCCTCAATTTATAAATGCTGTAATTGTAGGCTAGCCTTTTAATTTCCTACATGGATTGTTTTGATGTAAACAAAAAGTGAGGTTAGAAAATTTTGATGATTTGTTCTGTCAATAAGCTCAACTTGTAAAACATACTATTGAAATCTTTTCTTTAAAATATTAATCATTTTCTGAATGTGTATGTGTTTATTTTTATCTAATTAGTTTACCATGAAATTACAATCAATAAAAGTTCTCGAGACTTGGGACTGCCTTTCAAAAAAACAATCTACGATATTTTCATATGTTTTGATTGATCAGAAGCTATTGAGAATAGTTCTGTAAGAGAAGCACCAATCAGTCAATGTTTGGAGTTTTAATATACAAGGAATATATGCATGATGCCCTGGATCAATTACTTTAATATAATACAATATAATACATGCATCAGTAAGTGTACTTGGACTTGAAGTACCTTACGGTGACATGACACTGCGACACTCTGCAACTAACAATAATAAAGGAAAAAGTAGCTCCTTCATTTGCATTGTAGATTGAATTGAGGGGGCTGCTCTCCAACTTCCGTCCTTTACTCTTTCACAGTACCTTCTTTCTAATATAATTGGACGTTTATCATCTTCGCTGCGATTTCATGGCTCTCAGAATTATACCTCATTCTATTTGCTTTTTCTGTCGTACCCGATCCTGTCGCATGCTTCCTCCTCTATCATCTTTATGCAAAATAGCTCCATTTTAAGGTGTTTCCTATTTTGTCACTTCCATTATGATTTATCTCCTCCTCATATTCAGCCTCTATGCCTGTACTTAATCATTGAATATTATTAATAGTTTCTCGAAAGTAACTGTGAAGTTTTGTCCCAGTGTGAGATGTGAGAGAAATTGATTTTAGCAAACTTTCCAACCATCCGTTTTTGAAGTATTGTTTTTTTCTGAAGCTTACTAAATCCTTCATACATATAAAATCGATTGACTATTGCTTTTGATTTTTGTTTTATCTTTGCTTCCATATGTGCTCATTAATTTAGTTCAACTTCTAGTTAGAAGATTATTGGCTTGTGAAAACAACGCTTGTTTTCATCAGATTATATTTTGTTATCAATTTATATTGTTTGATCATCTTCCTTGAGAACTTTTAAACAGCAAATTTCCGAAAATGCAAGAAAATAAAGATAAATTATTGGTTATTACTATTTTATTAACCTATAATTAGATAATGATCAGATAGTAAAAGGAGTAAATGAATATATTTAATATGTGGATTTTTGTGGTGATAATTTTTATAGAAATGAGTGGGCAGAATGCAAATGAAAAAAGGTAACACAGTCGTAAACGAACTTTAAGGACGCCATCACATTTTACCAATTTTTTCAGTCTTGTTTTTTCCTTTTCAGTTTCAAGGACGTGGTTCGTTTTTCTTTTTTATTGGTAATTCATAAGTTGTTGCCTGCTTATTAACCTAATTGTCATGCTGTTCATTCAGATTCCTTTAATCCTTGTTTTCATCCTGACTTGATCAGTATCACAGATCAATTAAAAGATTGCAATAGGATTATATCAGACATCCTTAATATTAAGTACAAGCTGGCAAAACCGAGTACTTCAAAAAAAAAAAAAAAATTCGAAAAAGTTATCGAAGTAATGTTATTCGTTTCCATCTTCTCATTTCCTACCTTTTTTCCTGCATTTGCATGTAAAATTATTTTGGAAATATTTTAAAAAATTGAGGCATTAAACCAAAGAAACAAATTACTAAATCTACGGAACAAAATTGGAATTGGATTTGGAACAAGCATGTTATAGTACATATCTCAGTTTATATATTACAGGGAATAAAAAGTTTATCGACCAAGTACAATGAAATAAACCTTCAAATGATTACAATGAAATAAGCCAAACTTCAAGTGATTAGCAAGGTCAGAAAGTTACAAAAGCTTTTGTAAGAGCTGATGATACGATGTGACAAAAAGTTTCATTTTGTCTATCTGTTAGTTTGATGATAGAATGAATTTTTTATAGCTTATAGAAAATTTATTAAAAGATTATCTATTTGTAAATCTTCTATGTTCTTCACTTACACATTACAATCCTATTTGATTCACTGAACCTTTCCAGCAATTACTTTATTTCCACACTTAGTAGATTTCAGTTATTAGCGCTAACATATTAATAAGTGACAATTCTTTCAAATGTTTAACATATGAGTAGTTGACTGAATCAATTTGAAGATTCTGGATTTCTCGATTAAATGGTAATATTCGGAGATGTTGGGTATTCTTGCTGTTTGTTTAGGAAGTGAAAAAAAAAAAAAGAAATGGCATTAAAGGGAAGTAAGTATTGATGATACGTTAATATTTACGAATATGTATGATACTTGCTGCACAGCAGTTGTACACACTTGCAATCTGCAATCTTTCCATTTTCTTCGTTCTAAAACTTGAAACAGTTTCCTTCTTGCGTAAATTTCGACTTTTCTTTATTAATTTTCATTTTATAACTGTGAAATATGGGTTTTCTTTAAAGAAAAAAGTGAAGGATAAGTTAACAAAAAATTTTTCAATTATTGGTTGATTCGTGATCCTAAAACAGCCTCCCTTCAAATTTCATTGTAAGGATTTGTAAGGATCACAATATCAATATGTGGTTATTTCAATCTCTTCTGTTGAAATTAAAAACTTCCGTATAAAATTATATTTGATTCCTTCAGTTAGTGTTGATGAGGGTAATTTTGTCCTCCAGAAAAAAATTTATCACCGTTATGACGGCTCAGTAAAAAGTT